TTGGCAAAATCCTAATTCTTTTTGGCCTTTACAATATGGCCTTAGAAGTAATTCACTTCATTTCTTTTTCCTCCCTTCCTCCCTCTCTCCCTTCCTTCCTCCCTTTTTATTAAAGTTTTCTTATTCAAGCTTCCCACTCATTCAGATGCGCCCTTGAATTTGAGGTCATGTGTCTTGTCTTTATTTCTGCACGGCTTTCATGTTGCAATGGGCTCTGTCACACCAGAGCTATCAGTTAGCTCTTTGCTGCTCACAGGGTGGCCCATGGGCTGGCAGCATCGCCCCCCCCCCCGCCACCCCCCCCAGCCTGTTAGAAGTGCGGAATCTCAGGCCCTCCCCCGACTTTCTGGCCCCTGGGTGATTCATATGCATGCACATGCCTAGGAAGCAGAGGTTTACCTAACCTTGACAATGTCCCTGTCCTATACCATAAAGGTGATGTGGGGGCAGCACCAAAGGAGGGGTCCTGAATACGTACCTCTTTGCAGTTCCTCAGCACCAAGTAGCCACCACCCTCACTGGATTCGCACAGTAGGTAGGTTTCCCTGCCCCTCGCCCACATCCGATGCTAAGATCTGCATTTACATTGTGCCAGCCCTTGCGCCAACTGCTTTATCCTTACAGGGAACCTGTGAGCTAGGCACTGCTCCTGTCCCCTTGACAGATGAGGAGCCCGAGGATTAGGGAGGTGAAATGGCTTGATCGCTGCCACCCAGCTTGGCCTGCAACGAGGTTTCTGTGATTGAGGGCTGTTATCTCCCTCCTCTTTGGGGGGACAGTCCAATGGACTGACGGACTGCATCGTGTGGCGGTCCTCTTCTGCTTTCAGCTGTGTGGACTCTTGAATGGCCTTCCCTAGCCTGGGCCTGGGGTCAGGGCCAGTGTCTCATTCCCCGCCCCCACCCCCTCTGTTCTACTTTCTTCTCATTTCTCGGTCTCTGCCTCCCCCTCCTTCTCTCCCTCCTCCTCCTCTTCCTTCTGCTCCTCTTTTACTTTCTTGTCTTCCTCCTTCTTTCCCTTCTCCTCCTGCGGTCAAGCACTTGAACGCAGCTCAGCTCCTTTTTCTTCCTTCCCCGTCCCTCCCCCACTGCCTCCCTCCCTCCCTGCTGGGCTCCAGATAGAGAACTTAGGTGGCAGCCTTGGTAAGAGTGATGGTGACTGTGATTTTGTGGTTATTGTAAGTTTTGCCAGCTAGAATTTCCAGCCCCTTCTCCCTCTTTATTCTTCTCCCCCTCTGCCCGGGTGAGAAGGAAACCAGTCGCCACCGAATGGGAAGTTCTGCTATGAAAGGCAGACAACAGGAGCAAGAGAAAGGCTGGCTTGTCTTACAGATTTAGAGCCTCTGTGGGGGAGGGGGAGAGAGCTGAAGGGTCATAAAGCTCGCAGGGACTGCGGAGGGAGGGGAGAGGGGAGACCAGAGGAGGGACTCCAGGGTGCTCCACAGGCACAGGTCCTGATCTGTGAGGTGACTGGTGGGGAAGGCGCCCGTGGGTTCAGTGTCACCCCCTCTCCTTGGGGTGTGTTTGTCATCAGCCACCGGAAAGCCACTGTCAGGTGAAGGACATGCTGACAAACCCTAGTCACTGCAGGATATTGAGGGGCAGTGACATGACTGTTATCATTTCTCTGAACCCACCAGTTCTTAAGCCCCCTCCATATGTCTGGCGCTTGTTAAATTCTTTCATACGCAGGCCCTACACCTCACAAACTGGGCAGAGCGGGAAATTGAGGCCAGTGCTTTCTCTCTGCTGTATAATTTGGTCTGGAAAACACTAAACTCAACTAAATCTTTGGGAGTGGCACACGATTTTCTGTCCCCTATATTTAAAACTATAGTGCTTATCAGGGATCCGAAGAGCACGATCATTGACTTAATTAATTTATTGTCTACTTGGGAAGAGAAGACACATGCACATACATTCAAGGGCTAATTAACTCTACAAGAATACCAGGGAGTCAAGAGGTGGTGTGTTGAAATGCCAAGTTAATGGCAGAGATGTAGGAACTACAGGATCTTATTAACATTTATTAAAATTGCCAATGTCACCCAAAGATAGGCAAGACGTATTTCATACGTTGACAAGTAAGTATAGGTTACCTAGGGCCCACGCTTCGACTAACAATAACGAATTCTATCTATCATCAGGTCAAGTGTAACTTAAAACTGTTTTATACATTCAGTATTTCTTTAAATAGGATTACCTTCTTTCTAGAAGCAACCGCCAGGCCTAAGAAGATTCACGACAATGAAAAGGATTTTTTTCTTTCCTGTAATGAACAGATTAAAAGCATAATCCCAAGCTCTGTCTCTGTCTACTTTCTACTTTCTGGGTCCAAGCAGAATTGTGGTGTGAGTCACTCCAAGTGGGTTTTCCATGTGCACTCAAGAACTGTAAGTCATTTTGGGGAAAAACACCCCCAAAATTTAAAAGTCAACAAAAGAGGTCACTTTCAATAGAGTTTGTACCCTGGAAGGGGTGCGCCAAATGGGTACTTTTTAAAATCAGGCTCCTAGGGAAATCCTGACTTTACTCTAGGCCACTCAAGGCCAAGAGAGCTTCGTGGCAACTTTGAGAAGGGCACCCCCACCCAATTTCTTTGCTACTGGCCTCTCTTGGACACGTGCAAAGATCATCACGAGTCTTTGGGCCCATCAATGCTAGACTTAGGGTTCAGGTCAGCACGACCTGTTAAAAAGAAAAATTGTCTATGACATTTGTTAAAATGGTCACTCTGCCTCTTCTCTCTCCAATTCCCCTCTGTAAAAGTGTCCTTTTACAAGGACACTTGAGATTGCATTTAGGGCCCACCAGGATAATCTCCTATCAAGATTCTTTACTTAATCACTTCTGCAAAGCCTCTTCTGCCATCTAAGGTGGTATTCACAGGTTCCAGGGTTTCAAACCTAGATATATGGGGGCCATTATGCAGCCTAGCACACAGGCCAATAGCAAAAGGAACACAGAAAACTTTCATAAAGAGAAGAAAGGCCCCAAAACCCCATGGTCCCTAGAGTTCATCACAGGAAATAGTTTGTGACATATTTTTCTAGATATCTTTCCATGCATCTACTAACACCTGTATTTCTCATATTTCCTTTCCTTTTAAAAATAAAAAATGAGATAACTTCTTACACAGCCCAGCAATTTGTCTCTTTCATTTAATAATGTATCTTTGCAGTAAGCTCTTTTAGAGTGAAAGGGATTTACATTCATGCTGCTGTCTTTGATGTAAAAATAGCAACTTTCCAGTAAAGCAAGTGACTTTTTAAAAAATTCCATTTGAAATAATCTCCTAGAAATGTCAGTGTTTTAATTCATAAGAGGGAAGAGATTTTGAACCAACTATAAAGGTAGAGGCTACTTAGAATTTAGTACGTTGGGGAGATTAGAGAAAGGGCCCTCTAGTTACCCGTGGATGCAGCACGACATACCTGAAGGTTAAATTACTTCAAGTGTGGTCTGTTCGCGTGAGAGTCAGTGCTTCCATGTTATCAGTTTAAATTAAGCATCTCTGTGATGTTAGGCAAGCTGTACTCGATCTCTGGGCCTCAGCATCCTCAGCTTTGAAGTGAGAGTATTGCATTGGAAGTTTTCTAAGCTCCCGATGATGTTCCATTCTGCAGTTTTGGAAGGGTACTCTCCTAGTAGGCTAGACACCCTGTTTTGAATACCAAATCTTTTACTAACTTGCTGTGACCTTGAGCTAGACAGCCAGATCTGTAGGGCTTCAGTTTATTCATCTGTAAAGTGAGCAGGCTGGACTAGCAGGTTCTCAAGAGTCTGTCTAATTCTCACATTCTCAGACACTGAGCCTCAAACTTCAATGTGCCTAAGAATCTGCACTCCCACCCCCCAGCATTTTGTTAAAATGCAGAGCCTGCTTCAGGAGGTCTGGGATGGTGTCTGAGATTCTACATTTCTAGCAAGTTCCCAGGTAAGAATGCTGCTAGTCTGGAGACTGCACCTTGAATAACAAAGCATTTGGATTTTGAAATGTCAGGAGACTGTTACAGACTTAGAAATTGGTGAAAGATAACTGTGTGTCTGGTGGTGCTGGTCTGGGATTGCCGGGTGCTATAGGGCTGTGCCCCTTTGCTTGGCTTTTATTCAGCTCCGTAAGAGTAGATGTGGAATATGAATAGGAATAGGATGAATTTTGTTTGAAAGAGGTACAATTGATTTCAGCCCTGTAGAAAAAGATGGCTCCCAAACATTACTTTTGCTTGTTCAATAGGATACCAACCCCTTTGCACAATTAGCAAATTTGTTTCAGTATTCATGATTGCCCACATGTATGTTCTTCAAAATCTCTTTTAAACAGATTTTACCTTTTTGAAAAGTACACCCTGACACTACTGGTCCTTTGTCATTCATTCATCGATTCACTTATTTATTTACAGCAAGAGGCTTGCTAGAGTGGTGGAGGTTTCAGAGTGGGAAACAAACTCCCCTAGGAAAGTGGGTGTGTAGGTATCATGCTTTCCTGACGCCCAGCCCACGTACAAGGTGAGGAAGTACTTTACCTCCAACGTAAGCCAGGCAATTCTCCTCCCACAGCTAGATCGCTGAATGTGGTAGAAGAAGATGCTTTCACCATCATGTGGCCCAGAAAGTATCAAGAGATTACGAGACCCGACCAAGCCCAGTAGGGGACTGCCGCTGGGATTTAAACCTGACCTCAGGACTCCTCCATTGCTCTTTACACCACCTGCTGCTTAGTTTTTCTGGGGCCGCAACACCGAGAGCTCTCGCGCGTCTTCTGCAGTTGTTAATAACTAGACACCCTAGGTGTCCAGAGTTCTGGCGAGGTTAGCCGCCGGGTACGACCTGGCCAAACGGCCAGGCTTGGGGCGGTGGGGCGGTCCCTGTGCCCCGGGGGCGGAGCCTGGAGAGGCCGGGCAGACAGTCCCGCTCCGTGGACGGTGGGAAGTCGGAGACTAGGCCGAGCTCCGCCCCCGTCTGTCTGTGTCAGTGGCGGCCGCTATCAATAAAGTTGTTGTTGTGCCAACATGGCGGCGCCCATGGAGACAAGGCGGGCCGTGTTCACCTGAGGTGGGAACCGAGGCGTTTAAGGAATCGCAGGCCAGAGCCTGTGAGCAGGTAAACCCCTGACCGGGGCTCAGCGGGATGAGAGACGCAGCCCGATCTCCTTCCCTCCGGATCGGGAGGTTCCGACTGGCTGGGAGCAGGAAGGGAAGGCACGGACTGGGTTAGGTGGTCTCGCCCCCGTGCATTTTCCGAACTGGAAAAGTCTCCGAGATCGGCGTCTTCAGACTCTTTAAGCCCTAGGCCCCATTGATAGTTGGGGACCCTTTCCCTGAAAAAACGCACGGGTGCACATAGGTTTGTATTCAAGTTCCTCCCCCACCGCTCCCCTACCCCAGTTGGTCCCTGGAGCTTTGCTTCCTGGGTCGGGGGTTTGAACTCAGTTAAAAGCCATGCAATGCATCTCTGGCCCACAGGTCATTGCCACACCATGTTAGGGCTCGAAGATCCTCAGGGATCATTTGGGTTTACCCCTCATCTTAAGGAGAAGCTGAAGTTCCAGTCACGAACCTGAAGCCATGACTTCCCTGAGGTCATACGAGGAATTGGTAGTTGCAAAAGCTCAGATCTGTATTATTATTATTATTATTTTATTTCATCTGCAAACTTGGTTCCTTTAAGATTAATTTTCCCAAGTACATTCTCACACTTTCTTTTGGGTGCACCCAAATGCCTTCAAGTGCTTCTATGTGTTCTCTTTCTTGTCTTCTTCTACCCTTTCTCCTAGGTTCTCTGTGCATAAATGATTGTCAATTTGAGTCCGGTTCTCAGGCCCCTCCCTCCCATGGCAACATGCCACTATCCCCACTGTTCTCCTAAAACTTAACCTTAAGCGCCACGTGAGGTTGAATGGAGGTCAGGGCTGACTCTAAAAGAGGAGTGGAGTAGCGAGGATTGATGCTTTGGAAGGATCACGGAATATGGTGGAAGAAGAGACAAGATTCCAAATATCTAGGCAAGGACCTGCGTAAGAGAGATGAGCAAGAAGGGCGACAAGTTGGTCTTAAATACAACACACAGGCCACACCTTTTAGGTTTATCCTATGGGCATAGTCCTCCGGTAAAATTGCTGCTCCTGGTGAGAAAGAGGCCATCCCCTTCAGGCTTTGGTGGCCGAGAGCAGGGCCTCGGAGGTGAAGGAGGGGACCTGGGCTGAGCGCCAGGAAGTTCTATAATAAATCATAGGCCTCAGTACACTGCATGCTGAGTCTTGGGGACCATCTAACACACAGAATGTGAACTTTTCTTCGGGTCTTGACCCATTTTTTTTCCATATTACTTCCCAGAGAGATAGAATCAATTTACATTCCCACCAGTACTGTATAAAAATGCACATCACTTTTGATTTAACAGGCATTTGTCAATCTGATAAGCAAATAATGCATTGTAGTTTTAATTCACAATTTTTGATTAGTTGTAAAGTTAACCTTTTTCAACATATGTATTAGCCATTTGTACTTCCTCTTTTTTTCTGTGTTCATTTTTAAAATTAGGTTTTTAATGTTTTTCTTCTTATAAGTGAACTCTTTAGGATAAGTTTTTTTGGTGCAGTTCTTTCAGTTTTCTCTCAGCTTATTGTTTGCTTTCTCACTTTGTTCATGGTGTTTTGATATACAGATGTTTTAGATTTTAAGAGAGATTATGAATATTTTCCTTTCTGAATTCTTCTATTGCTTTTATTCTCAGGACAGAGCATCCTGCACCCTGTAAAGACGTATTAAGTATTCATCTACAGGGTGGGGCAAAAGTAGGTTTACAGTTGTGAGTATATGAGACATAGTTTATTCTTGCATTAGTATTTATTAATAATCATATTATTTTCCATATGAACAACCGTAAACCTACTTTTGTCCCACCCTGCATATTTTCGTCTTGTTTTGTAGTATTTAAAAAAATTCTTTAATCTATATGGAATTTACAATGGTTTATGGTTTGAGGTTGGGGGCTCTGATATGAATTTTCCCACCATTCATTGAATAATCTACCACTTTGTAATCTATGTGTTCTTTTTTCTTCATGAACTTTAAGGTCTTTTAAATACTCAGATCTGTTTCAAAATTCTCTGGTCTTACTGGTTTGTGTAAAGGAAAGTTTATTAAGAAGTTATTAGTGAGCCAGGTATTATGTAAACATTTTTAGGGAGCTTGTTTTTGATGTTTAGTCAGGAAATGTTATGGGTGGTTTGTAATTTGCTTCACAGTATAAGTTGTAGAGACTTTCATATCGCTCCTGTCGGTTCTGTCTGCATTCATTTGTCACAATGGCTAACCAGCATTAAAACCAAAAGCTTGTGAGGCTACAGCTAAGGTCAGTTTGTATTTTCATCATTTGTTGCTCCCCATGGCTTCTCTTCGAGAGAATAGTCTAATGTGTTCTTAGGGACTGCAGCCATCTCTCTATCTGTGCGCCCCCTGCTACACTGGCAAGCTTTAAACTGTAAAGATACGGAAAGGCGGTCTTAGCAAGCGAACCATAAAACCCATGGATCCTTCAGATAGTTGTAATTATGTAGAAACCCAACCCCTAAAAATAAATGCAATTGCCTTAGTTGTACAAAGTGTCTATACATTAGGTTTGTCATGTGAGATTGCTGATATTCAACTGATTTAATACAGTTCGCCAGTGTATCTGTAGACATATCTACTCACTCTAAAATAGCCAAGCCCAGTGGATAGGGAGTTGTTTTGTTTTGTTTGCTTTGGTCTGTTTCTAATTCCATCCCCAAAGGGGCAAGAGGTGTTAAATACAGTGAGAACTGGTATGTCAACGACTTTTGGCAGACCGACTTGTAAAATGCCAACCCTGTGATGCCAACTTACGTGAGTGTGAAACATATAAGCCCGTCACGAACCCTGTCGGCAACATTTGTGACCCAGTACCTTTGGGAAACGGGGCACATCCTAGTAGCTCTGGAAAGAGAAGGCAGGGAGGGGCTCCGCCGCCTCCCATGCAGTCTGTGGCTGTGGTAGGAGCTGGCCCAGGCAGTGGTCTCCGCTGGTTCTGATTGCGGTTTTGTATCTTTGGTGTTTGGGAGCACTGACTGCCTTTATGTTTTCCATTAAAAAGTTTGTGCTTAGCTCAGTTGAACCCTTAAAGCCTTCTTCACAGGGAGAGCCATCTCAGAATAAGAGGAAAGCACGTGCATGGGCAGGGGACATGGGGCTGTGCCGAGCGGAAGGACAGGCTCAGGCGGCTCACCAGCCTGCTTCCCATCCTCCTTCAGGGCCCCCCACCTTCCGAAGATGGCCCCTGCTTGGCAGAGACTGGGTTTCCGAGTCGCTCTCCTGCACAGGCAGCTCAGCGGTGGGCCAGATGTCCTCAGCTGGGGAAGGACAGTGCTTCCAGGACATGCCCGGGGAATTTACAGTGCCACGGGACAGTGGACGAAAGAGTACACGCTGCAGACCAGAAAGGACGTCGAGAAGTGGTGGCGTCTGCGAATAAAAGACCAGGCCTCCAAAATTCCCGAAGCCGATGTGAGTATCGGAGAGACCCCGGGGGGGGGGGGGTTAAGGAGGGGGGTTAAGGGCTCGGACCCTGGGGTCAGACTGCCGGTTCAAATAGGTTATCAAGTATGTGACCTTGAACCCAATGATTGAGTCTCTCTGTGCTTCAGTTTTCTTATGTAAAACGGACAGGGATAACAACAGTGCCCACTTGCTGCTCCCGAGGGTGCTGGCGAGGGGTGAATGTGACAAGACAAGGAGAGCCTGAGGGGACTTTCCCTGCGGTGCGCGCGCATTCTGGAACAGCGTCGAGGGGAACTATCGCGACAGGAGCTCCCGTGCTGGCCTATCGCCTAGCAGGGCAGCACGCAGAGGTCGGGTGGGGCCAGATGGGAGACGCCAGAAGACACACCTGGGCCCCTCAGCTGTGGAACTTTAAAGCTATAGATTCTGAGAAATGCCTGCCCCTCCACTGGTACAGCCTTGGCCTCCCCGCCGCCCCGCCTGTCACCTCAGCCTCAGGGTTTGAAAGGCACCAGCCCCTCCTTCCCTGGTATGATCTGGGGCTGCGGGCAGCCAACGCTGCCGTAACAGCTGTATGAGTGAGTGGACCCGTGGCGTCTGGTCTGATGCACCAGCTCAGTGCTCAGCCTGAGTTCGCTTTCTCGGGTGCTTGGCTGGGGCCCGTTCCCAGGGAGCGCGCTGCTGGGGACCAGGCTGGGACACATTAGTGGAGGCTTCTGGTGAGAAAACCTGGTATTGAGAAAGACGAAGCGTGTAACAGGTGAAATGATAGAAAGGAAGGTTTGAATGTGATGTGTAATTATACAACAAAAGCTTCACTTTTACTCCTTAGGAAGTGAAAAGCCTTCCTGGCAACATGATCGGATAATCTAACTAAATGTGTTTTAGAAACAAACCTTAGGGAGTGGTTCAGTTCTGAATCAGGAGCTTAAAATTAACTTGCTTTCTTTTGGTTTAGATTATAATTTGGTGACTTTCAAACATTTTGAAGTAGTAGCTTATTGATTTGGTGACATCTCATTCTTCTTAAGCATATGGTTAAAAAAAATTAAGTGGCTCAAAATAAACTGTTTCTGTAATTGGGTAAATAGCTGTAGGGCTATTGTGGGTGACGCCCTGGTGGCACCGTGTGGGTCAGAGCCGGGGGAATGGTGTTCAGGGACACCGCCTGGCCAGGGGTCTGGAGCCTGGGCAGCGAAATCCTGGCTCCGCCCCCAGAATTAGTGTGACTTTGGCCACATCATTTACCGCCTTGGTCCTTGCATTATTTGTCTCATGGAATTGTTTTGAAAATCAAATGAGAAAACGTGATGGAACACAGTTTACAAACTGAAGTGTTAGGTAAATGAAAGATACAAGAGGATGAAAGTGCACGATGTGTCTGCGTCAGGGATGAGAATCCTGCCAGCGGCTGGGTGGGTGCTAGAGTGTCTGCAAGCGACCTCGCTCTCGTATTAGATACATTTGAAACCCACCCAGATGAGTTTCTAGAAGTTGAATGTTTTGCCATAATTATCCTAATCATCCTTCTCCTAAAAAGAACCTCCATTTAATGAGCATATTACTATGCGTCAGGCACCATCTGTCCATTTATTTCCTCATTTAATCCTGAAATAACCCTGAGGGAAGGTGTTATCATTCCTAATTTGGGGGGTAAGAACACCAAGGCTTGGGGGGGGGCAGATTGGCAGTTTTGCCGAGAAGCACAGCTCACGTGGGGCAGGGCCAGGATTCAGACCCAGACGGCTTTGCTCACAGGATTGATTCCTGACCTCACGCTTTGAGCTTTCACCTGGAACCTTCTTTTGCCTCACCTTTGACCTACAGATTGTATCCGAGCCCAGGAAGGCTGCGCTGAGGAATCTGTCTAAGGCCTCACAGCTGGTGGCAGAGCGAGGACCAGAAGGGGGTGGGGTGGGGGGTCGGAGGACTCCAGGCCCCCTTGAGAGCTCCTTCCCTCCAGTCCTCCCGGCTCTGCGGCAGCTTGGAGCCGGATCCCTAAAGAGGCAGAAGTTATCTTTCTCCTGACGTCAGAAGCTGGCAGAAAGAATAGGACCTATTTATAAAGACTATCTTTTTCCCATCGCTTACAATCTTAATTTCTTTTAAAGGCTTAAGTTCCTACACTTTTATATAATTATGAAAATTTCCTTTTCAATCCGATTCCTGCTCGGTTATAACAAACCCCCATAATTCCTTCTCTGCTTGCCACCCACAGAGGACAGAATGCATTTCAGTGTCACAGAGGAAAGGGACTTGGTTCACGCAGAAAGCAAAAGGCAGGGGCAGGCAGGAGGCCGAATACCTTGTCTGCAGTAAAAATATTCATGAATATTAAAGGCTTTTGCTAGCAATACTTTTCTAAATATCTTCTATAAACTCTGTTGTGGTGTTTTGCTTAGTGACTACGTAATGAATCACTCGGTTTTACACAAATTTTATCTTTGTTGGAAGACATACAAAACAGAGATGCTAATGAAGAAGTTAAATGTGGAAATTGGGGCAAGATTGATTGTTAAATAACATAATATAAAAAAATAGATTAATAAAAAACAAGGTGATTATAATGAAAGAAAAATGGGTTTAATGTAAAAGCTTTACAATGAGAAACGAGAGATCCTTTATACCAAGGATTTTTTTCTTCCTGGGTCCCAGAGAACTCTGTAACCAGCTCCTTTGCCCAGTCCCTAAGAGCAAGTGGGGTGGATGGCTTGCTTATTTCTGATCCTGCACCAGCTGAAGAATTGAGGTCTCATACCTCCCTTGAGAGGCTCGTTCACCAGCCACCAGCCGAGAATTACTTGTCTTCTTAAAGATGTAAATTCCTGAGTCCCCACTGACTTTCGTGTCTCAGGTCCCTCCCACCCTCCTGAGGTTTTCCGGAGAGTCGTGGATCCGCAGTTTCCGGTTAAAGAGCGTGACGCGTGCACTGCTGGGCACCCATTTATATGAATCAACAGCACTCCAAGCTGACCTCCCAGTCTGTGCAGACCGGCTCCAGACCCCTTATTGGTCGCCTTTCCCCTTTCCTTCCTCCAGGCAGCTTGGCTTGACTGCCCGTTGGTCATTGCTAGAGGATGGGCAGGACAGAGAGAAGTGCCACTTTAGTCTGCTTTGTCACCTTGGTGGCTCTGTTGAAAGTTTCACTTCTTTGCTGAAGGGAGTGGGAAGCAAGGGGTCAGGTGTGACTCCTAGTTTCTCTGCGTTTCTAGTTTCTCCTGCTCCCCTGGTCCCTGTTGCTGTGTTGATATCGGTCATACAAATATTAGCAACAAACATAACGTTGCCCCTCCCCCCAACATGTGCAAGAAAGAGTGGTTATGAAGATCCTGTTTTACATTCATTTTTATAATTTTGGGGGAAGCAAAGCCAGAGAGAGCTCTGGGAGAGCTTGGGGAAGGCAGGGAGTAAGGGCAGGAGGGGAAACCGGAGGGCAGAAATAGACGGAACAGCTGTAACACCAGCCGGCCGACCCTTGGTGAGCAGACAGAGGCACTGCCTGCATTTCTTCAGAGGGGCGCCTTCTTCCGCACGGGCAGAGGGAGCGGTGCAGTCACCTGGACAGGATCAGCGGGCTTTGCTGGGGGAAGTGCCCAGTTTACACTATGGGCACAATTTTAACAGAACAAATAACTAACTGGCCTAGAGAGGCCGGTTATCAGGCTTTCCGAGCACAAAGTCCGCAAACATTTATCCAATTGTTATTAAACTTCCACTGGGGGTGGGTGAGGGTGGGGGAAAGAGATGATTAAACACAGTCCTTGCCCTTGAACGACAGGTCCCCGCTAAGGAATCAGTGAAATGACTACCACCTTTCCTTTGGAGCCTCAGCTGGGTGTGCACTCGAGCCTGTGACAACACCCTTTACCGATGGGAGGATGAAGGTGCCCAAGTCAGCGTTCCAATAAGGGCTTCCCGCCTGGTGTTCATCCTTGTGGGGCTCACGTACCGTTTCCTGAGTTTGTCGCGCTGCGGCCGCGCCTCTGGAAGCCGGAGTGTTGGATGACCCTGGCCTGTGGCTGCCCGCAGATCCACCTCCGGGAAACCACAGCCCTGCCCCTTCCTCGGCACGGATTTTCTCCTTCCCTTCCCATTGCAACGTTTTCTGTTCAAAGTGAAGTTCACAACACAGTGGAGAGACCCAGGACCCAAATCGGTGCCAGAGGATACTGGTGTTACTGCTCAAGCCAAGGGCAGCTCCAGGGCGCTTCGGAAGGGGCTCGTTTTCATACCCTTGTGAATCACTGCCGCTTCCGTGAATTGCATGCATGAGTGCTAGAGCTCCATGTGGCAAAACACACAGCTCTCCAAGACCCAGATAGGAGCTGTCTTAGAAGCTTTTAAAAGAGAAAAACAGATTAAAAATACAGATGGGTAGTTAGCACTTTGAGGGGGTTCGGCATATTTTGGACGTTCTTTAAGTTCAAAGAATTTGGGTTTTGACATTTTTGTCAACTTATGTTACAGGAACAGTTTTTTTTCAAAAGGAAACTTTTCACAATGATAAGCGATCACCCCAAGGAAAGCGCCCGCTGTTACGTGCAGGCAGGTTCCCAGTAAATCCCGCTCAGTACACGCCTCGTCACATTCTGTCATTCTTTCCTAGAAGTCAAAGCCCAAGTTCTACGTGCTCTCCATGTTCCCCTATCCCTCCGGCAAGCTGCACATGGGCCACGTGCGCGTGTACACCATCAGCGACACCATCGCACGGTTCCAGCGGATGCGCGGGATGCAGGTAAGGGCAGGCGCCGCCGGAACCCCCGGCGTCCGTCTGGCTCCCCCTGGCTCCCACGACCAGAACGCCGCATCGTGTGTTCAAGGCGCAGAGAAAGCCCCTTTCAGTTAAGATGAGATTGGTGGGTATCAGGGGACTAAATGGTAATGAAAACTACAATCGAAAAAAGATGAGATTAGCTTTGAAGATCAACGCGAACAGCTCAGTGTTTCCTTTTGTGGGTTGGAAGACATTATAATAAAGCTTCTAGATTAATTGCTGGGGGGCAGCCACGTGTTGGGTGTTGTGCCAGGGATGGAGATGGGTGGGGGTGGGGGAGCCACAGATGCGGGTAACACAGGGCGTCTCCCCAGGAGGGGTTCACAGGCTGGTGGGGGTGAAACATAAATAGGGAATCGCTGTTTAGGGGATGAATCCAATAGCTGAAATATGGATCAAAGGCTGTGAGGAGGAGGTGGGGCCACAAAGAAAGTTTGCTCTTTGTATTTGATATTTTCTATGTTGTCTAATGAGGATGTGTTTACTTCATAATAGAATAAGTAAAATTATTGTAAGAAACAAGTATTTGGAGAGTACCAAACGTGGGGGGAGTTGGGAAAGGCTCCGCCAAAGAGGGGCCATCCGACGGGGCTCTGGGGGCGGGTGAAATTTCCTGGGAGAGGGCAGGAGAAAGACCCTTGTGGGCCTAGTTGGCCGATGTGGGCCAGTCCCCTTCTCTTCACTGCCAGTGTCCCCTGAGCCTGCCCTTTACTCTTTGGCGACCTTCTGGAACCAAGCACAAAGAGGCAGGATGGGAGGGGGCTTGTGAGTGAGGACCTTTGAACCCGATGGCCAGGGTTAGGGTACCAGCTCTTAGCACTTCCTAGCTGTGCGACCTTTGACGAGTTAGTTAACTTCTCTAAGACCTAGTTTTCTCTCGCCTATAAAGAGGAGATCAAGTACATGCTCAGTGGTCTGCTTCCAGGATTCAAAGAAGATGACTGTGAAGCACTTAGTGCGTACCCAGCACGTGGTAGTAACCGTCAATACTGGCACAGCTGGGCCAGGGCTGGGATCTGCTCACGCCAGGTCCCGAGAGACCCCTGCGTGTCTCTGTACCCAATTTTACATGTGTTAGTTGCCTTAGTAGCTTGCAATCCAATGTGCTGGGATCTGCGCACCATGGAAATCAGCAAACACCACAAATCAGGGCTTCTTCCTCCGGAGAGCCCGTTAGACATTAACCGGCTCTCCTGCGGGCCGTGATGAACCCGTCGGGGCCTGTAAGAATGGCAACTGCCACCTCCCTGTCCTCTGTGAAGACATTCTTTTAGAGAGACGAGTGCATCCTTGTCACAGTTGGTTTGAAAATTTATGCCAAACTGACACTGGCAGCAAGAAGTCTTCCTAAAAAGGAAGTCAGATTCTAGCGTCTCTGTCCCTGGAAGAGTTAATAACTTGAGACTATCAAACACAGAGATTTGCGCTCTACTTGAAGATGGCCCTCAGGTGTTTGTCTCCCTGGTTTATGCTAGCTGTCACTTCCCCCAGACATTGCTTTCCATCTTTTCTGCTGTGTTTATTAGGAGGAGGCGCTGTGGAATGAATGGGCTCTTTGCCTGAAGTATAATTCTTGATCTAACTGTGGATTCTTCAACTAGATTTTTCATATTTTTTTACTTACCCAACTTGTTTTAGACAATCAGCACATGCAGACAGATCGCTGATGGTTAAGCTTGTACATTTATGGTAAAGAAAGAGAAGCCCATTAAGCAGACAGGTGGTTGGGGGGTATAGGTGGGCTTCTAGTACCTGCAGATGGAGGAGGGATTACAGAGAAAGCTCAAGGCAAAGCCTTGGGCCCAGAGGGACCGGGACCTCTGTAGGTAGCTCAGGCCCAAAGGACAACAAATGGAGTTGCCTACAGTAGCAGAGGCCCAGGGTCAGGCTGCTTCCAGGAGTTGGACAACCTAGGTTTGAACCCCATTCCACTGCTTTCTAGCTGAGCAACGCTGCCCAAGTCAGTTAATGCCTCAGTATCCCACTTTCCTCATCTTTACAATGGGGATAACAGCCGCGCCTCCACAGGGGGTGTTGGGCAGTTTCCACGAGTCAGTAGCTGTGCGAGTCTAGCACATAGTAATCCCTTAAGCAGTGATGGTTGTGACTCTTACACTGACCTGACTTCCTCTGGGAAGTGGTTCATCTCCATTGAATAAGTGAATCCCCATTCTCTTCGGTCTGGAGCATGCTACGTGATGTTTTTTGTTTTTAAAGACTTTATTTATTTTTAGACAGAGAGGAAGGGAGGGAGAAAGAGAGGGAGAGAAACATCGATGTAACAGAGAAACACTAATCATTGCCTCTAGGGAACTGAACCTGCAACCCAGGCATGTACCCTGACTGGGAATTGAACCGATGACCTTTCGTTTTGCAGGATGGTGCCTAATCTGCTGAGCCACACTGGTCAGGGCCACATGATGTATTTTTAATGTCTGTACTGCTATTCAGTTTGTTAATATCCCTATGTACGCGAGAGATACTGATCTGTGCTTTTCTTGTAATTTCTTTGTCTGATATCAGGGTTATCTGGGTCTCATAAAACAAGTTTGGAAGTGTTCTTATTTTCTGAAAGTGTTGTGTATTATTTCTTCCTTTATTGTTTAATAACATTCACGAGTGATGGTATCTTGGCCTAGAGTGTTCTTCGTGGGAAGTTTCAAAATGACAAATTTTGTTTCACGTATGCAGCACGATTCAGGCCTTCTGTTTTTTCGTGTCAGTTTGAGTGGTTCTCAGTGAATTTGTCCCTCCTTCCTCTGATTCTGTTCTGGACTGCCTTCTTTATTTCCTTACCCACCATCCCTCCGTAGCCTCATCTATCCCCTTTAGTTTAAATAGGATATTCTTAAAAATTATAAACATTTCCACTGCCGAAGTACAGAGAACATTATCACAGATACCCAGATTGGCCATCCCGATGTAATAGATGTTACCATTTATTCATATTAGCCTCAGCTCTTTTTTTTTTTTTTTTTTTTTTAATGTAACAGATACATTTGTGCCTCTCCATGACAGATTTCAGTCCTTCAATTCCAAGAAACCTCTGTCCCAAGCCTAGTATGTATCCTGGCCTTCCTATTCCCATGCTTTTACTCGATATATTGTTTAAGGATACGCGCTCTCCTATGTAGTGTTGTGTGTTTTTAATTTTATAAAAGATACTTAGTATTTTGAGTATTTTTTCACTCAGTATTCTGTTGGAAGATTTATCCTGTGTTTGTGGAGATGGTTCATCCATTGTAAGTGCTGTGTCACGATGGCCGTATTTAATTACCCATTTTCGCATTGGTAAAGTTGGAAGTTGTTTCAGATTATTGCCCAGGGAGTGTCCTGTCCCTGACTTGGCCTGTACCTGACATTGCTGGGTCACCTCATCCAATTGCCCTCCCAAGTGCTGGTGCTGATTCAGACTTCTGCCGGCAATGGATGACATTTCTTACTGCCTGATGTTTTTGACATTGCTTATTAATGTTAGACTTTAATTTTTGCTAATTTGGTGTGCAGGAAGTGACACCTAGTTGTGTTATTAATTTTCATTTTCCTGAGTGCTGTCCTAGTGCCGCTGAGATATCTTCATATCTCTTTTAAGTTTCCTCTTCCCTGACCAGCTTGCTCACTTATTTGCCAGCTTCCTCCTGGGTTGTTTATCTTTTTTGTATTGCTCTGTAAGATTTCTTCCGGATTATTGATTCGTTGTTAGTTAGCAATGCGAATATCTTCTCCCTTCTGTGGTTTGCCCTTGTGTTTCTCTGAGCCCGGCCAGTTACCATGGGTTGTAATTGAAGACTGCGAATGAGCGAGAAGGATGGAAGGCTCAGGGCTGCTCTTACTTTGGTTTCCTCCTGTAGCAGTGAGCAAGTTGCACAAAGGAGAGAAATGAGACAGGAGTGTAACGCCTCTGCGGCAGTTTGTGGCGCCGTGCCTGAAAGCCAGGACCTTCGCACCTCTCTTGGGGAAAACTGAAGTCACAAGCAGCTAGGTAGAACATGGATACACAAGTAGATGCCACCAGGCTTTATCAGTGGACAGGCCAGCGGTTTGGGGGCGATGAAGTGATCGGGAATGAGGGGCTTTAGCCAACAACAGTGGCCTACCCGCCTCCTGCCTCACAGCTTTGTTGCAAGCTTCACGTGAGATGATCAATGTGAAAACCCCATACAAACTCTAATGCAGTTTCCCAGTGTGACCCCTCACTGCCAGCAACAGTAAGGGAGTCCTGAGGTTTGGGCGTTGGCGCAGGGCTTGCTGGGAGCCAGAGGCAAACGGTCCTCTTTTGGGACTCAGGCAGGGCTTGCTGCCGGTCGGCCTCTCCGCACACGTGTACAGTGTCTGGTGACACATTTAGAGCTTAGTGCCATATGGTGATGTCGTTGTGTTTTCATCTGTTGTATGCACAGATGGCTGGAAAATAAAATTACCCGCCTCCCACCTCGGCTGGTCTCCCCAGCACCTTCTGGGCCAGACGCGGGGCGATGAAGGCATCCACATGCCACGTCCCCCTCACAGACGGGAGCTAATTTGTCGTAGCCGAAAAACCTCTGGGCACTGCCCGACAGAGGTTTTGGCTAGGGCCTTTTTGCTGTTCCCTGCGGACGAGGAAGGACACGGGACACGGAGGCCGTGTGTGTGGCAGCTGCGTGAGCCCGACGTCATCACCTGTGAATATCAGGCAGTGAGGGGAGTTCTGAGCAAGTGAACCATCCTCTGTATACGGTTCACCGGTTTTCAGTTTGCCTGTCAACCAGCAAGTGTTTACGAAGAGCCCAGAGCACAAAGCGTGGCTTTGAGTTTTCAAATTTTCAAATCTTTGCAGCGTCTGAAAGGAGAGAGAGAGGGTTTTTGGAGCTTGTTGTCTCAATGGCATTTGAGGAAGAGAAGGCATTAATGGTCCAGAGTCTTGAGTGGAAAGTGGCCTCTGCCTCTGCCGGTCAAGTCCCTCCACGTCCCCACGGGAGGTC